CGAGAGCAGGGCGAGAGCCCTCCTGGTGCGAAGCCGAAGCTGGAGGAGCCCCTCCAGATCTTGCCAGGTTTGCACCCTGTTAGTAAACAAGTCTCTCCACAAATAAATCTGCTCCGGTGCCCAGAAGGAGCTTTGGAGCGAGTGGGGCGCCGGGTTTGGTGTGATCCTGTGTTCAGGTGTACCTGCTCTCTTCTCCCTGCCTCAGCTTTCCTATTCGTTTGTGCCTGAAATAAGCTCTCTGCCTAGCCGATAGGAAAACGCTTTGTTCCGCTTCAGTTGCGATCTTTATTTTCCCCTCCTAAGGGAACTCTCTTGAAGCTTGTTTTGAATGGAAGGAGTCCAGGTTTGGAGCAGTCTGGTTTTATTTCTTCTGTTCTTTTGGCTGTCGACCCGGCCACCTTGCAGCGTGACGATTGGCAAAGGCCGGGAGAAGGCAGGACTATGTCCAAGGCAGATCGATCTGTGCAGTTGGAGTTATTAATTTGACCTCCTCTCTGCCTCTTCGCTCTGTCCTTACCCCAGGGTTGTTACTAGCTGCGTGCTCGTGTACGGAAAGATGTGTTTAGATCGGAGTTACCTGGCAGGAGCCTCAAACCCTGTTGCGTGGCTGCGTTCACAGCTCGCGTTGCGCTCGGCCCAGATGATGTGGGGGGGCTGTGGGGGCCCTGGCTGGGTGATTTGGGGTCAGGGTGCCACAGGGCACCTGTAACGCTGCTCCGGTCGTGTACCCTGCGCGGGGCCAGGGGCTTATTACAGCCCCGCTGCCTCCCTGTGCTTTACGTGCTCTGGTAATCCGGGTGTAATCTTTTCCCATGGGCTCTTTGTGGCCCTTTCAGTCCCATGTGGTGTTAAGTGACGCTTAACAAATCCCTTCTGGGCACCCTCTTTTCTGAGCAACCTGCTGAAAAGTCTCTGTTTTACCGATCTGATGATTTTTATTTTTTTAATGCAGCCGACCTCCGGGGCTCCTGAGGCCTTTTCTTTTCCAGGGACAAGCTAGCATGTAATTTAAACTTTTATCAGGGCTGGCAATTTCAGTTCAGAAACTTAAAAAGGGACTTGGCGTTTTTAGAAATCATCTCAGACCTGTGAATTTTAAGATACTGAATTTAAAGTGAAAGAAATTTTTGCTTTCTGGAAGTAGAACAGGTTTGAGAATTAAATGTGTCTTTCAAATGCTTTAATTCCCACCTGCCCCTCCCCAGCTTTCTCACCACCATTTACTGGAGCTTGAGGAGCAGGGAGTGAACCTGCTGGGAAACACAACTGAAATGCACCCAATGCTTTTCCTGTCCAAGTCTCTGATTAAAGCCATGTGGGCAAATGTTTCAGAGGTTCTGCTGGAGCATAAAGATCCAACCAAACAAATCCAAATTCAAGATCTGAGCCCAAGTTACAAATTACCTCCTAAATGGAGGACAGTTGGCCAGAATATTTGAGTTTTCACTTCAAGTAGTCAGGGTTTTGTTTTCATTTGGGGCAAGCTGGCTCATAGGATTTCTATTTGGAGCCGGGGCTGTTTGCTGAATAAATATTGGGTTTAGCGGTTTATATGACTTTTAGCTTGTCAAGGCACTTTTAAAGCTCAAGGTGAAGTGTTATAGTCCATGGTATTTTAGCAAAGACGTGTAGCTACTCTCCCTGGGTAGCTAATCTCCCCAGGACAGACCTAGCGTGAGGGAGCTGGTGCAGTTGAACTGCCGATAACGTCCCTAACGCGGTGCCGAGATGTGTAGCACACCCTGAGCCGCAGCCAGGCATCTCCACACAGCTCTGATAGCTGCCTTAACGCGGTGCCGGTGCAGTGAGATGTGTAGCACACCCTGAGCCGCAGCCAGGCATCTCCACACAGCTCTGATAGCTGCCTACCCCAAACCCTTTCTGCCTTGGTGTAACACACACAGCAGCCCAAGGGGGTGGGCTGAAAACTGTACGAGCAGCTCTGGTATTGAATTTCTGAGCTTTTAATATTTGTGTGCTGCTGAATTCACAGAGAGGGAAAAGGAACTGCAACTTAAGGCATTTTCTTTCTCTTGTTTGCCTTAACTCAGGGATTTGTGTAATTTTGGCTTACTGAAGCTCTCCCACATTCCTTGCTTCTCAATCCATGCAAACAGCTGCTGGCTCGAGCAGCGGTCAGCAGGGAGAACTGGCAGGAGGCTGAAAGACGCCCCTTGCTCCTCCTTTGGACCAGCGGTCCCAGAGCAGGAAATATTTTTCCATTCTGATGTGATAGTGAGTGTTGGAGCACACGATGCTCACGTGCAGCCAGTCCCGGTAACTGCGTGTGGTCCGGGATTCAAAGCATCACTGCCATCCAAGGGGGTGAGCAATCAGCTTTTGTCACCCAGCTGTTCTCGGCCAGTGTCCCAGCGAGTGCAAGGTGGTACGTGAAGGGAGTGGCTTTTCTGCTGGGATGTTCTCTTTTTTCCATTTCCTAAAAAAAAGGAAGGAAAACGAATTGCCAACTCCCTCCAAACAACCTCCTTCTGCTCTCCTGCTCTGCTTGTGGCTGTAGGATGGGCAGTTATTGGTAATAATAACTTTGGCGGAAAAATGGTCTTGGTTCTGTATTTGGGCTTCAGAGTAGCTGATGCAGGTGGGTAGGACAGAAAACCCTACAGCCCTGCTTTGGTTCACGCTGGTCCGAGCTGAGCATGGACATGCTGGCGGTCCCTGAGGAGGAGATGTGTTGGTGTGAAACCTGCCATAAAAAGAACTGGCAGAGGCAGGGGTTGGGTTTGATACCTTAAGTTTTAATTTGCTGTTTTGAACAGTAAAATAACTGTCCTTGGTGCGTTAGGGTAGAACAAATTACATCAAAAAGATCTGTTGCAGAGACCAAGGCCTTCTGTTGATGATCTGGAGCGGTTTGTCACCAACACCAGTCGAGCTGGGGGTGTTCTGTAAAAATCTCAGAGCAGCTCATCAGGTGTTGGGTTTGATACCTTAAGTTTTAATTTGCTGTTTTGAACAGTAAAATAACTGTCCTTGGTGCGTTAGGGTAGAACAAATTACATCAAAAAGATCTGTTGCAGAGACCAAGGCCTTCTGTTGATGATCTGGAGCGGTTTGTCACCAACACCAGTCGAGCTGGGGGTGTTCTGTAAAAATCTCAGAGCAGCTCATAAACTAATTTACAATGGATTCCTGGAGGAAGTGTTGTTTTCCTCTTATAAATGCAGACATGTGGGTGTGTCTGTTCTTCGCTCGCTCTTTTTCTATTTCTTTTTTAAGCTAGCAAGCCACACGAGCATGATGGATGGGACGCTCCACGGCGCGTGGGATCTTCCCCCATCCGGCAGGAATGTCATTCTCCATACAGATGGCATCCTCCAGTGGAAGCCACCCACTGCTGCTCTGCCTCTTGGGAGACATGAACTTTTCCATTTGACGGGAAGGAAGCTCATAGCTCCTTGCTCACTGCTGGGAGTTCAGTGATCAATGAATGACACGAGACCTTAGGAGGGAGAAGGCGACTTTATTTTAAAACAAAATGAATTTTCGCTCGTTCACGGTCATACCTACCTGCTCAGGAGCAACAACACGAGGATCTCCAAGTGGTCTGTCCAGCATTTGGGCATCAAGACACGTGTGTCCAGATGGTCTGGACAGGATTCCTTGCAATGACACAGCAGACAAGAAATAGACCTCTGGCATCTCTTGGACAGCTTGGTGATCATGTGATGGCTTTGGGTCGGCTTTTTTACATCCCTTGGGGGCTAAGAGTGGTGGTGATCTTTTGTCTCTCCTCTGTGAGCAGTTAGGATTTACGGACTGGCCCTTGTGTCTTTACCTGGATGTCTTAAGGCTCCTACCCCATTCTTTTCTCTTCCCCAAATCATCTCTTAATGGCTTGAGTCTTTGTTGATGCAGATTGTCCCTTGTTTCAAGGTGTTCCTTGTTTTCCAACCTGAGAAGCTGCAGCTAGATGTGCTCCGATCTCGAGGACCTGCTAAATCACTGCCCTCAGCACAGGCTGTTTATTGTGTTCCTCCTAGTGCTTCCATTCTCCTTCCCATCCATTCTTCGCTCAGATCATGCTCAACATATGTATTACTGTGATCTGCAGACTGTGCGTAAAGAATTGTCTTCTGGCTTTGTCTGTGTGTATAATGCTGCACAGAAGGAGTCGAGGGGCTGATCCTGGACCAAAACTGAGCTATCGGAAACCTGAACGGAGTTGACGTTGTAGCCCTGGAGCTCAGATCAATAAGAAGAGTTTGGTCACGCAAGCGGTTCCCAAGTCATTCATGTGTACCAGTGCTTGGGGAGCTCGTGCTCACAAGCTGGCAGCTCGTGCCGGGGTGGTCAGAGCGTAACGCTGCCAGGAGCGTGGGTTGGGAAGGGTGCAGAGTCGCCACTTGCCTTGGCACGCTCCTGGCTAGTGAGTGTTTGAACTTGGGTCAGGGCTTACAGATCAGCAGTGGCTCTGGGCTGGTTTTGTACAGATCTGTCAACACAACAGGTGTGGTTTGGTGCCACAAACCACAAGAAGAAGAGTCTCCCTAAAGAGTTTTTGCTCTAAATTAGCAAGAAAAGTTGCTAGCGTTGGCAGGGAGTGGGTGGTGGTACCTCATTTGCCCCTGACCAGAGGGGTTTTAGGCCAATCCATTTCTCTGTAGTCTCCTAAATGCAGAGTGAGCATCTTCTGTGAAAGGCTGAGCTTGTTTGCCTCTCTTAAATGGCTTGTGTGGTACAGATGCAGGGTGGGGTGGGCTTTGGGGCATCATTCTCAGCTCTGTGTGCTCTCTTTGTTTCTTGCTGCAGGTCCCCCAGAAGAAAATGGTGTAAGGCCAGCCAGTGCAGCTCCCAGCTCCAATCACGGCGTGCCCAGGCCTCAGGGAGGAACATGGCAGCAGCTCAGGGAGCAGGAAGCAGTTCAGCCGGGCCATCCGGACTTCCCGGTTCTGCCCCGGGGCACAACAACAACTCCACAGCAGTGGCGGTATGGGAATGGCAGGATGAATTTGGCAGGTGGAGGCCATACCGAGGGAACGTCTGCAGCTACATTGAACAGGTTTTTCAGGCCTCTCAGCAGAAGGGCCGGCGTTCGGGGTCGGGGCTTGTCAGCAGCATCCCTTTGGGTCACGCGGATCCTGTCTTGGCCCCCTATGTCATCGACATCCCAAGCTTGACGCAGTTCCGGCAGGATACAGGTAAGGGAGCTTCCCTGCCCATGCTGGGCTTTTGACGAGGCTGCTTGTGTGCTTGGAGATAAGTGGGGCCTTGTTCTGCGTAGGACAACAAAGCTGTGCTGTCTGCTGCCACTGCTGGGCAGCTCTTTGAAGGGTGGCACGTCCGTTTCTCTCCTAGTGCTGTCTGCCGCCCAGCGTATTAGCACGTGAGAAAATCGATGTTGGCTGGCGTGAGTCTGCAGGGCTGGGTGCAGGCAGGCGGCGGTGATCTCTTAAGGAGCCTCGTCATGGGACCTCTGGAGTTTGGGAGCCAGAGCCCTCAGAGCTGGAAACTTTCTTCCTGCCCCCCACCCACATCCATTCAAGACCACTCGCATAAAAAGGCCTTTTTACAATTCAAACCCTCCCGTTTGAATCCCTTGTTCCCCCTGCAACTGGAGCGCCAGCTGCTTTACCTTGGCATGCCGCCCTGCGCAAGCTGCTTTGCAAAAGCCTGCAGCCCCCGCAGAACGCCGTAATGCTGCAACAGAATACTCCCTGCACTTGTGCTGTACGAGGCTGGCTTGCTTCCTCCCAGGGAGGAAGGGCAGTCTGGGCTTAATAGCAGGATTGAGACCTAATTTTCATTCTCATCTCGTCTCTCTTGGGGTCACTGAGGCTAGCAGCTCAGAATTTGCTGAGATGACTCTTACCCTCTTTTGCTCCAGATGTGCTGAGCAGCTGTAGCTTAGGGGGCAGGGGTGGAATGCATGCTCTTCACCTCTGGAAAATCGAGGGAGGTCCTAAATTACACGCCTCAAATGAATGGCTGCTTTGGAAGATTCTCTGTGCATCAGTTTCCCCTTTTGCCAACATCTCTCCTGTCACCCCAGGATGCAGTCAGCCATCACCCCAAGCTGTAGAGACGGGCAGTGCACTGGTTTCTTGCCAACCGAAGCAATAAATGGGCAGTATCTTGAATCAACTGCATGATCAGGCAATTCCTACAGGAAAGGGAAGTCGTTGGAGCAAATGTGAGTGGTCATCACAGCTGCATCCGTGGTTTTATTCTGACTTGTTGACCTTAGGATTATTTTTTTTAGCAGTGTCCTGCGTGAGGAGCTTGCTTAGCTGGATGCCTTGGCAGGACTGCTCAGCGCAGCCCGTTTGAGCACCTGGAAGCCCTGCTGAGGCTCTGGCTTCGAGCAATACAGCATGGACCACCAGAGCTGCCACCAGCGGCTGTTTCTTGTTTTCCTCATGCTTAACTTGTGAAGGAACCTTCCAGCCTCTTGCCCTTTCAGCCAGTGCTCCAACACATGGGCAGCAGTCCTGGGCTGTCCCTTGTCAGGAAACAGCCCAGTTTGGGGAAGGTGGGCAGAGTGCCAGTGGGAGGGTGAAAGATGTGTCCTGGTGTGAATGGGACATCCTTCTCCACAAGCGGAGCTGTCACTGCAAAGGTCTTGTATGTCTTTAGACCCTTGAGAAAGATCTGAAAACACCGAGCAAATATTGTCCATTGGAGGATGGTTTGGAATTGGTTGTCTTTCGGGGACAGCCCAATACAATATTGGAAATGATGTTGGCTGGCATGATCTCATCTTTCCTTGGTTGAGATCTGTGGTTGAGTCGTTAATAACAAAAAGGCTGATTCTACTTCGTGGCTCTCCTGCAGCGTTTCCCACCGATTTAGAGGGATGCTGATCAGAGTGACCAGGTCTTTGAGCCTCCCTCCACAAGTTCCTGTGTGCTCTGCAGTGTGACTATTGGAAACACCCTCCTGTCCCCTTTCAGTGGCCCAGTTCTAAGCAAAGCTTTTTCCCTCTGCAGGGCTCTGCCTTAAATGTGAACCTTTCTGAGCAAGCAGCCAGCTGACCTTTGTCATGTGCTGGAGAAAAGAATCTCTGCAGGAAACATCCCCATGAAAAATCTTTAAACAGAGCAAAAAATAGGCTGTTGTATTCTGTTCATTAGCTATTGGACAGACAAATAGGCTCTTCAAAGGAAGCCAGGGAGAATAACAGGAAGCCAGTGTAACGGGACCAGCATCCCCACCAACGGGGAGTGACAGCTGTGCAGGGGGATCTTGCAGGCAGGATTAGCTGCGGGCTTCAGCTGCTGGTTGAGGCAGATTAGTGAGGAGTGAATGGAAGGGAGCAGCAGGAGTTGTCCTCTCACCACAGCTGTTTGCCCACCCTGGAGAGGAATGCCAGTTTCCCTGCCAGCCTGGGGGAAGGGGGACGTTTTCCAAGTGCGTGGCTTTGGTCTTGCTATTGGCTCCGAAATGCTCTGCTCCTGTTTGGGGTGTTAAAAACACAGGTTGCTGGCAAACTCCTCAAATCCTCTCTGTGCTGCTTTTAGCTTCTTACCTGCCAATGGAGCAAGGGCAGGCTTGTTAATCTCCTCTGAGATGTGTCCCACTGGGCTTTCTGACACCTTGCTTTACCCATGGTAGTCCCCTTTCTCCTGGGAGCAGGTTCCCTGCACTCATCTCTAAATGTAGTGCATTTCTCACCATCTCACTTCCAGCCCAGTCTCATCCCCAGTCCATCTGCTCAGGGGTCATCCCTGATGTTGCCCACATGTTGAGGCCAGAGGTTTATGTTTCTAAAACTTGGCAGGACTTGTTGGATAGGAGCAGTCATTGCTAGAGTTTGCTTTTGGCTGTTTCATCTGCTTTCCCGTGTAAGACCTCAATTCCTGGCTGGGGAAGGTCACCTTGGTTCTGCTGACATCTTCTGCCCTGACTTCTGCCAGGGGAAGGCCTTGTCCCACAGGAATCCCTGGGCTTCATGGTTGAGCTACTGGGGTTCAACCCCATTGCTTATGAGTGAAGTTGCTATGTTTCAGTGGCTGCTAGTAGCATTTAGGTGTGCTGATGAGATGTTGTCTGTTGGACGGTGTCACTGGAGAGTCCTGCTCTGCAATAAGTGGGGTGCTTGGTGCTGCTCTGGCTGCTGAAGCAGCAGGGAGTAAGTGCTGGACCTCTCCTGGCTGCTCATCCCCTGCATGGGCTGAGGCAAGCCACTCCAGTCCCCAGAGCCTTCGGCTCCCCAGCAGAAACAGGAGTCCTGCTGTTCCTTCATCTGGCATGTTCTGCCTTTGAGAGAAGCCTCAGCTCTGGAGCTCAGATCTGTCTTTCCTGATTTAGTTTCTGCAATGACGTGTGGGACGTACCTGCACCCCTGCACAGGGTCTTGTTATGCTCTGACCACCAAAGTGCTGTGGAGGAACCACCAGCACAATTTACAAAGAAGCCTGGGAGTGTGATAGGAGCAGAGATGTGACTTTCACGCTGTCGAGCAGAATTTTTAGCAGCGAGGAGGCAGTTAATGCCCTTATGGTTTGAGTCAAGACCTAGCAGCTTCTGCAGTACCCCAAGAACATGGGGTAGAAATAACAGCAGTGTGAGGCAGAGGTATTTGAGCCAGCCAGAGCCTGAACACAGGTAGCAATTGGGTTTTGGCAGTGTGGAGTCCCATGCGGGCTGTCCTCCCTCTTCCTTGGGGTGTGCTTGTTGGGCATAAAGCTTGCTTGGATTGCCTGCCCCCCACGGAGCCACCAGCAGCATCCTGGGGCAGTTCTCTGCAGGCTTCAGGAGCAGATACTGTTTTTACCTGTGGTCCTGGAGCTTAGGGTTGTAACTTTCATGACGTCTTAGGAGGCTTTATTTTTTTTTTTTCCTGGTTCTGTTCTTCTCTGAACTCCTCCTGTGTTGTAATGACTCCCTGCACCCCTGTTCGCCCCCACCTGCCTGCATCCCCAGACTTGCTTGCCTCGTGGTGTTTTCCACTCCTCCTTCCCAGTGTGGAGTGCTGCTGAGGATTTTCCCAACAGTAGCAGTTCTGACCCTGCTGCAGGAACCTGTTTTTGCAGAGGTTGCAGAGCTTCTGTCCTGTTGGGTGGCTTACCTCCCTTTCATTAGGCTTTTTCCTCTTTAAAGAAAGGAGTAAAGTAACCAGGAGTGAAGTCACCCTGGAGAGCCGGGCTTCCAGGGGGTTTTGAGCTCCTGCTGTCATGTTGCCTTGCAAGAGTACCATGTCTGCTTTCATTTCTCTTCCTTTGTCTGAACAGCTGCTCTCTCCAGTTTCCAAATTACTTCACTGGTTTCTGCCCTCTAGCCTCACTATATCACCCAGCAGTCAGGAGCCTGGAGAGGCTGGCCCTGTCCGTCCTCTCCAGAGTCCTCATCCTTGTGGGACTTCACCCACTCCCCCAAGAGCAAAATTGCCCAGACCCTTGTGTAGCAAAGTGGGTGTTTAGCCCCTTAAGCGCTCCTGCAAAGCACTTCCCGATGGTGTCATGTCTCTATAGTTACTCTGTCGTCAAGGCTGTGGGAGTTGTTGGTTGGGTTTTTTTAACCAGATCTGTGCCTCAGCGTGATTTTTTTTTTACTTTTCTTTTTTTCTTTTTTAGCGTCAGGGAGGCATATGTGATCTCTGTGCCTTTGTGCTTGGGTGTGTCTGTCTCTGCATCCTCTCTCCTTCCCTCCTTTCCCACCCTTCCTCCCAGCAGCTTTTGAACCTGTTGCCAGCCCACAATCAGATTTGGCAGAGGGACAGGGATCTCGGGGGTATTGGGTTTCTCTAAGCTTCATGAGCAAACCCAGCACTGTCTGGAAGAGAAAGTTTGTTAGTGCCCCTGTTGAGGGAGAGGTGAGGAAGGCCACCCCGATGTAGACACCGCAGATCTCTGCAGAAACAAGTCCCTGAGACAACATCCCCCTTAATTCTCTGCTCACAAAATGATACTATTTATTTCCCCCCTCCTTTCCCCACACAGGGACGATGCGGGCTGTCCGCAGGCACCTCTTCCCTGGGGACTCCGCTGCCGGTCAGGGCATTGTTTGGGAGTGGCAGAACGACGAAGGCGGGTGGTCCCCATATGAGATGAATGTCTGCGTGTTTCTGGAGCAAGCCCGTGCCACAAACCACCAGCGAGTAGATCTCGGACCCTTGGGCTACAACTACGAAGTTGACTTTGTGGCTCAAGTCCAGACCAACAAGACCACAAGATTCCGCCGCAGCGTTCAGAGGCGCTTGGATGCCCCGTACCCGGTGACGGCCTCCCCGGCACCCCTTCACGCAGGGCCGGCTTGTTCTTGCCAGCAGTGCTGGTTAAACAGCGGGACTGGTCCCATCACCACGCGCTACCGCCACTCCATGATAAACTTTCCCAACTCTTCCACTACTCATCAGGTTTCCGGTAGGACAGCGTCAGTAAGTTCTTCCAGCTTCGTGCCCTATAACAAACCAGCTTTGTCTGGAGCAAGGTCAACATCGAGACTCAATGCACAAAGCACCTGGGCCTTGCCTCAAGCTGGGGCCACCAGCACAGGACTGTCTGCATCTAACGGAGTCAGGTACAGACTCTAATTCACCTTTAAATACTGTGCGTGTGTCCAAGAGACCTGCTGTGCACAGGGCTTCATTATCTAAGAGTCTCTCTGTCCCAGAGGACTTCACAAGGGTGTTCTCCCTAGAAGGAGCGAGAGGTTTGTGCCGTTGTGCCCAGTGCAGTGGATGAAAAGGCTTCTCCTCTGCTTTCCCCTTCTTTTCTCACACTTGAAATACAGTCCCTGTCTACTAGTCTCCATGAACACTGGAGAAAGCAGTCAGGTTGAGATTCTGCAGGTTTGAGAAAATTAAGTGATTGGCGGTATTTCGGATTACACTTAAAAACAACTTTTAGGGGGACTGAGTGAATGAAAAGGGGACTTGTGAATGCCCTTATTTATTTCAAAATGTGCAGTGAACATAGAGTGGAAAACTGCTCTGTGTTCAAAACTCTTCTCCTTCAAGGAGGGACCACAGGTCTTGCTCTATGTGGATGAGACCTTGTGAATTCTCTGACAAAATCAGGAAGTCCATGTCGGACATTTTTAAGGTGAAGAAGCAGGGGGGGAAAAAAACCCCAAAACCAGCAACCCTAAGACATAGATTTGATCAAGGGTTTTTTAAATCCACTGTGAAGATGTTTAGAAAACCAAATCAGTAATTTACTTTCCCTTTCCTTTTATACCTTGAACCGTATTGATCCCTCTGTATCTGAAATCAGTGGGGTGACCCTAGCAATTTGAATGGTGTCCAGGTTATTCATCAGGCTAAATACTGATGCAGAGCAGAGATGCCACTGGATAATCGCAGAAGAGGTTCACTTTGCACGTGTTGAGGTGCTGTAGGGCATTGCTATTGAGATGTTGGAGGACTGGAAGCACGAGCAGGACTGCGAATGATTTAAAATCCAGCTAAGCCTCACCTTGTGAGGGTTTTGCCATGTCCTGTGCCTTCATCTTTCTTCAGTGACCCTCTCCTGACTTGGTCCTCAGGGTGGGCTCTGGCTGTCTGGAGGACGCCAGTTACTTTGAAGGAAGGACAAGCAGTTGTTGTGGTGCTAGCTGAGGTCTGCCTTTCCTTGGTTCTTTGAACTGTCACCCCCCAAATGCTCCAGCTTGTATGAAGGGGTCACCTGTGCTGACTGCTGATCCATTTTCACCGCAGCCCTTCTCTGACAGGGCTGAAACTGGTGTGCATCTGGCAGCACAGGATTTCAGCTCCCATTGGCGAGCAGCTGGAGCCGAAGGAGGGCTGTGTTTGCACCTTACCGGTGCGGGAGGAAGGGCTTCACTTCCCTTCAGGCCTTTCGGCTGTTGCCAGCTAAATGAAAAGCAGAGTCTTGTGCTCTGACAGCTCGGTGCCTCTCCACAGCGTGGGCTGCTGGGCCAAGCTGCGGTCGGTTATCCCCCGTGGGCTGGAGCGGGGCTGCAGCACTGGGCTCCAGTGGGGATTTTGGGGCTGGGGGAGATCAGTGTCACCCTTGCAAAGTGGGGTACTTCCCTCCACCTTCTTGTAGGATGACCTCTGTGAAGCCTGGGTGCCCAAACCAAGCCCGACTGCCGCTAATCGGCTTTCAAGGTCTTAACTCTTTCTGTGCGCGAGTCTTTGCTAGCAGAGGTCTTTGTGGCCTCTCTGATAGTACTCGCACCGAGTATCTGTGAGCGTTAAACTGAGGACCAAGCAAGGGCTGTCTGACTGCTCCCTCTGTTTGCAAACGGCGGGAAGTGTACAGAGCAGTATATGCATTTCACCGTAAATAATTCAGGGGCCGAACCGCCGTGTGAGCACCTGAGAAACTAAAGGGCAACTTGCCAGGGCTGATTTACCTGTCCAAGCTACCCCGACTGAATACAGAGATAAGAGATCTAGGAGGGTGTTGAAAGCACATTCTGCTAATTTCATGAGGCACAGGGGGTTGAGGTTTATTTTGCATTTTGTTTGTATTTTAAGTAAGATGGTGAATCTTCAGATATTTTCCTTAGTGTCGTATCAGGACTTTCCCTCTTCGGGGTCATCTGAGTAAAATGACTTCCCGCATCCTGTTCTTCTTTCTCACGGTCTTTTTCTGGTGCTTTCTTTGCACCTGGTGATTTTTCGTGGCATCTTAAGCATCTGCAATAGTTCTCTGTTCCATTCACCTTCAAATAGGGCTAAAAATCAGACCTCAGCACTGCCTGCAGGAGCCCCCAGTAAGGCTCTTGCTGTCTCTTGAAGAAGCTGCCAAATTCCTCCTCGCAGGAGCCGCTGGTCAGTGCCTGGGGCTGCCGGGCTGCCTGGAGCCCCCGTCCTTCCCCAGAGCCTCAGCGTGATTTGCAAAGTGACTCTCAGGGTGGAAAGATTAAAAACGAAGAGCCAAATGCTGCAGCAGTTGTCCCTCAAGCCTCTCTGGAGCCGATCAGGGTCTGGGTATGTTGTATGTCACTGATGGGGGGGACAGGCTGTCCTGAAAGGAGGGAGGGTGGGAGGGGTGGCACGGGCTCCTTGCCTGGAACTGAGCCCATGGCCCGGGTGATGCTGACTGGGAGTAGAGGGACAGCCAGGAAGAGACCTGGAGGTGCCCAGCCAGGGCACTGGGGAGGACACTGTTGTGGCAGGCTGCCGGGCTGCGTCCCAGGGGACGGGGGAGGACACTGTTGTGGCAGCCTGCCGGGCTGCTGCCCAGGAGCTGCCGGGACGGTGGGCAGCTCTCGGTGACTGGTTAAACCTTCCAACAGGCAAGTGCTGGCAGAGCTTGTGCTGGGTTAATGCAACAGCCCTCTAGGGCTGGCATATGCCCCCACACTCCCCGCTCCAGCTCTGTCCCTTCTCAGGCACTGCTGAAAGTGGCTTTTGTGGCAGGAGCATCTGGTCCCCTCCACGACAGCCAGCCTGGGGACAGCAGCAGAGGGCAGAGCCCTCCTGGAGCACTGGGACTGCTGCGGTGCTGGTGGCAGCGTTGGCTGTGGACGAGCAATGCCATGGCTGGTCGAGGTCTGGCAGTGGCAACCTGGTTTGCAGCTCAGCTGTTCATGGTGGGGTGAGGTGGCTGGTATCTTGGCAATAATCCCATGCCAAGCCAGCCTTTCTGGGGGTGCACAGGGATTGTACAGTTAAATCTTTTCTGGGGACAGCAGAACACGCCACGAGGGGAAGGTGGCAGCTCTTCTAATGCTTGGAAGGGAGCATGTGAGTGCTGGCAGACTTGTGTGACAGGCACCCTCTGTGCAAACCCTGCACCCTGAGCTGTGAGCTTTGGTCCCCGCTCTCCTGGCTGCCGTCTGTCTGTCCCTGCTGGCATGCGAGTGTGTCCCGAACACGAGTGTGCTGTGTCCAGGAGATGATTTTGCTGGCAGGACGTTAGGAGCTGCCTTTATCACTACAACTCCCTTTCTGTTCATTAACACTGGTGCTTTCCACTAGATGTATCTGTGGAAGCCTCTGTTTTCCATACCGCCATGCAGGAGCATGTGTGGATCGCAGATCCAGCCCATGGCCGTGCGCTGAGCCTGGAGGGAGGCAGCAGCTGGGGGTTCACCCAAACGGACCCTGGAGAAGGGCACGACAATGATGTGCATTGGTGGCTCTTCATGGATGACAGACGATGTCTGGATCTCCAGTCCTTTGGGATTAGTTTTGCCAGGGGCACTCTCCTTCCTCCCTACCAGACAGACGAATGCACGCAGGGGGGCAATCTCTGTCTTCCAGTATAGTGCCGTCTGTGGAAGGGACTTTTTCAGCACCAGCTGACAGCTCGAGATGGCTTTTCCCTGTCCCCCCCGTGCTGGGTTTGAGTCGGAAATGCTGCTGAGTGGGTGTAATTGCTCCTGGCTGGGGTTACAGTCTCAGGCTTGTGAAACCCATGTTCCAGCAGAAAATAATCTCATTTCTGTGAATTAGGGGAAACCTGAGTAGCAAACTCTAACAATGTGTTTCATTTAATTCCTAAGCCCAGAACATTCTGGCGTTATTTTATCCCCTAGGTTCCCAACCTTCCCCTCTCGGCTGGACTTGGCCTGGCATGCCGGTTAGATCTTCTTCCCTCACAGTTGCTGCCCCATCTCCTCCTGCATCACCAAATAGTGGGGCCTTTGTGGTGGCGAAGACGAAGCGCTAATTATCCTGCACTAATTAGCCCGCCAAGGGTTTTCTGTCTGCATGCAGTGCGCAGCATTCCTCATTCCTCTTAGCTGTGACGTGCAATTCCTGTGCTGGCCCGTGCTCAGAGGCCAAAGGGAAGGGAGCAGTGGGCCACAGTGGATCCTCTGCTGTCTAATAAAGGTTGTGTTGTGTTCACCTCGCAGCCTTTGGCTCCAAAGCAGCCCTGGCGGATTACTTGCTTTTACAAAACTGCTTATCTTCACTAAGCTTGCAGGGATGACCTGGCTCCTGCCTCTTAGAGCTAAGCTGCAACTGGCAGAAGGGCTGAAAAGCTATTAGGGATAGACTGAAAGATGGTGCGGTTGTATACACCCGGTTTCTTTAGGGAATGCAGCTAAAAATGGCAGCACTGAAGCAAACATCTCTCCTGCAGGGCTGAGAAAGAGGTGTAGTTCATCCTGGAAAGCTGCTGAACTCCCTGTGTGGTTGTGGCAGTTATTTCTAACAGGCAGGCAGGAATAGCCCGTAGCACAGGCATGCCGGGGCTTTTGTGGCATTGACGGTGATTAAATATATTTCCTGCTCGCTGCAGATGCTGGTGTGAGAGAGGGTGGAGCTCAGGCACTTCAAAATGCAGGTTTAATTTCCCCATGCTCTCAAGAGGGTCAAAGTCGCTGGAAAACACAGAAGGGAGTGCCAAGGCTTAAATAGATGCTAATATCCTTGGCTCTGCTGCTAGCCTATTAAATACATGTGGGCAAGTTATTTTGCTTCTTGGTGCGTTAGTTTCCTCCCGTGTATTAAACACAGTTAATGAACCTGGCCTCTCTCGCAGACAGCACTGAAATCTGCAGATGGAGCATGCCATGGCAAGGGTCGTGTCGTTCTGTCAGTGCCGTTAACCAGATCTGTGAAGCAGGGGTCATCTCCAGCCACCTCCTGGCATGGT